CTACCAGAGCAATAAATAAAACTTAATTAATAAAACTTTCATAATTTTCCCATTCATTTTTTCAATCAATGTAGAAACGTTATATTTTACATTAATAAAGTGTAATAAATATTTTAAACTAATTTATTATATAGTATTACTACAAACACTAATTGATTATAATTATACGTTAGTATGTGGAAGTTACATACTTATAAAAAATTGTATTGTAAATTCTTTTCTTTAAAATATTTTTTTCTAAATTAAATTATTTTTTTTGTTTTTTTAAGCGATATTTATCTAATATTAATTAATTGGCACGGGTGTCATAATTAAACACCTTAAAATTACATAAATAATTGCTATAACAACAATAAAAATATTTGTATTATTTTTCTAACTCCTTAATTGTATGGTTCATCTAAATTACTAAATTATGTCCATTAAAATTTATGGTATCAATATAAAGATTCATTCGTAAGTTAAATAATTTATACTTACATTACACATTTGCATATAGTCAAATTTTAAAATGTAATACATCCATTAACTCAGGGGCGTATCTATACGTAGACCGGTGTGGGCCTAGGCCCACATTGAAAAAAAAAATCCATGACCTAGGTACCTTAAGACTCAATAAATAGCTTAATACATCATTAATTAAAATAATAATAATAATTACGAATCAATACATTCTAAGAAGAAAAATAAGGAGCTAGTGGGGAAATAAATTAGAAAGATAATGGAAAAATAAATTATTGTCCGTATTGATGATTTTTGTGAAAGTGATCTAAATCTTTTTTACTAGGTTTTAAAAGAAAAATTTAAGTGTTTAAATTGTACTTTTTAGCATTTTTGTAGTTTCTTAATTGTTTTTAATGATCTCTAAGATTAATATCATATATTTGAATGTGTGTGATTGATACTTTAATATCTCTTAAAATTTTGATATATTACATAAAGTATTTTATCCATTAATTATAATTTAATTTTTATATCAAAGAATATTTTTAAACAAATGTCTTGACAAAAAAGTTTATGTAAAAATGTCTCAAAATGAGCTAGTTTCAGTCCAAATATATCTTTGGT